CGCTCTCTGATCCAGTAGGCTGCTCAGCGGAGAGTCCCCAAACAGGGTGTTGACAGACTGATCAGGCACCAGGGTCTCAGCTTTTCTGGAGCACTGACAGACCAATTGAACAGGAAGTATTTGAGGAAATCCTCCCTTTCACATGACAATTATGCTTCCATTTTGTGATGGAAAGAACAACCAAGGAAACAGTAATAAAATATGCTTATAATCTGAAGATTAATGCTGAATCTGTTTATAGTTACCATCTTTTTAAAAATTTATTTTGTGAAAAGAATGTAGAAGATGCCTAAAAGCTAACACAAATAAAGACTGGCTTCCTCTCCTGCTGTGAAGCTTTGCTCTTTCCTTTATTGCTCACTGAAAAGCAGCAGGCTGATAACCACAGAGAACATAAACCTCTTTGTTCATGAGCTAGCACAGTATCAGCTGTAACAGTGTCACAATAGTCTGGCAATATGTTCCATATCCAGTCCTAAAAGCATCTCCTTAATGGTCCATCTGCCCTGCTGCAGCATATTGATAAAAACGTGACATGATACTAAGCACAGGCATCAGTGAGGAAAATGAAATTTGCCAGTAAGAACTACATTTTATTGTATTAGACAATGCAGCTAAGATATGCTTAGAAAATTATCACTGCAAGAGGATAAGGTAAGGCATCAAAAGCATGTTTAAGGAGGCAGCTATTTGGTTTAAAGGCATTTTCATATACCATGTCATTCTTTTTCCAAAAGCTGAAGTTCTGTTACACCAGCTAACCAGTTGCTTTGATTTAATCTAAAGAAGAGAGTCATGAGCCTGATGTTTCTATAACTTTTTGTAATAATAATTGCAGTATGATTGGTTGCAATCAGCAAAACTAGTACTTACTGCTGGCTGAACCACCACATCGTTCATTCCTTGATTTTTTTTGGAGTGAAGCTCCTTCTCTTCTATCAGCTCATAGTAAATTATTTTGTACAGGCTAAACATGTAGCTCTGCACTTTTTGAAGACCTGGGAGAAACAAGCCTGATTGATTACTGTCACTGTTTCCATTCCAAAAGCAGCTGGTAGCAGGACTCCAGTGGGCGGATGAGTTTCTGATATGTCTATGCTGAACAATACTTTTTTCTCGTTTTTCATACACCTGGAATAAGGAATCTATACATATTATATTTATCATATTTAGCACCTGTCAGAGTAAGTATGTGCAGTTCCTGAAGCTTCTTTAGAATTCTATTTTCTAATCATTAGGTAGCAAATAGGATGAGCTGTACAGTGCTGCTTTAGCTTTCACTGTGCTACACTTTTCTACCCTTATCCAGGTCAGTATACAGTTTTCCCTTGCTAGATATTTTAAAGTGTGCTATAAATAACCATCTTTGATTGATTCACTGTGCAGCTGAGGTCTTCTAAAAAGTACTGCTTTTTGAAATTTCTCTGCTTCTTTTCTAGTCAAGTAATTACTAATACCCTATACACACTTCAGCATTCTTCTCTGCCTTTGACACTCAATAGGACAGTTATACTTATCTTTCTCCTGTTTTCCAATTGGTATGTTTAAACCAGATGCTGAGAATTCTCAAAAAAATCCTGCTTGGAATTTTGAATTTCTTATGGGCCTTAACTCCCAGATCTTCTGCTAGATTTTTCTATATTATACTTGTCCTACTTCAGAGCTCGACCTTGCAGCTGAGTCCTCAATATCCACTTGTACAAACAGCTGTTTTAACATAATTTCCTCAGATGCTTTTGTAACAAGTTGTGATCTTATCTAGGCATGCAAATGGTCTCTTGCAGCAAATAGTTTTATCCTGACCTTCTCTCAGAAATCCTTTTTCTGTTGTATTTCAGAACACCATTTAATACCTCCATCCTGAATCCCAGAATATATTCTATATACTAGGAGTGTCCTTAAATTCTAGCTCCTCAGAGAGCAGATAAATGGGAATGCTTTATGCTAGAGGCAAGGTTTGTAGGAAATCAGTATCTTTTATTAGACTAACTGATACATTTAGAAAAAAATATTTTATGTTGGCTTTTTTTATTGCTTGAAAAAAGTGTTAAATTCTTCATGCCAGGCCCTTTTTCCCCTCCCAATTTTTGTCTTTCAGCAAGTGTTCTAAAATTACTTCCTTTATCAGAGGAAAGATGCTTCTAGGGAGACAAGAAGAAATTTCAAAAAGGATTTTTCTTGTGTCTCTTGGTCCCCCAAAGATATGCAGAGACAGGAAAACTACCACCAGCACACCTTGTCCCTAGCAATGCATTAGAAAGGATAAAGAGCTGGACTTTCCTCTTGGGCAGTTTTGGAACTTTGATACTGAGCCTCAGGAAACATTAAGACAGTAACATTTTGCAATAGGTTTCCCCAGCACTCAGCTGGGAAAGCAAAAGCTATGATTCCATCTGGTTTTACAGAAACTTGCTGGGAGTCAACTGAGTACGAATTTCCCTCGATTTTTTTTTAATGAGAATTAATTTTTAATTTTAAATGCCACCATTTATTTTGAGTTAACATCTTCCTCTCATTTTCTGTCTTTGGTAAGAATCTAATTCGGAGAGGAGTTTTTCCTAGAAATGGGACCTACCTTTTCATCAAGGCCAACATATCTCAAGGCATTCATAAAGGACAAAGTGTAGGTGTTTCCCTCTAGCACATAAACACAAAATATGCTATTGCTCTCCTCTTTTTGAAATCTCTGAACATCTGGAAAATATCATCAAGACTAGAGATTCATGAAAGAAAAAAATTATTTTCCAGCTTCTGAGATGATGACATTTTAGTGAGTATCAATAACAATCTGTTCACCAATAAAAAACCCCCAGAAAACTAAGAGTGTTTATAGGGAGTTTTTCCCATAAACCACTGAGATATATAGCTTCAATCTGTTTGAAAGGGTTTTTCCTTTCAACAGAAGCTTCAAGACAGAAAAGCTTATAAAAACTACCAATGAATTCCTTAAGTGTACTGAATGGAGTCTACCTCTTGTCCTTTGCTACAACAGTTTAAAATGACAGTAGTCTTAAGTAGTATGGCTTTCAGGTATACCTCAGTAAATATCTTATTTTTTTCGTATTACTTTTACTCTTTTATAGAACTTTGCTTACACTGGGCAGAAATTAAATAAGTGAGGTGGTGGGTAAATAAATTTTTTGAAGAAAAATATGTTTCTATTCTAATACCTCCTGGTGCACTTGACAGTTCCAACCTTACTTTGCTGGAACACACTTGTCCTGCAATGAAGCATTATAAAAGATGGGTCCCTGTGCTTCAGAGTCCTACAGTCAGGCTCATTGCTGCTCCACAAATCAAGCAG